TTAAGTATTTTTATATCATTAGAGATGATGGTGCTGATCTTTTAGAAATATTTTAGAAAATGCCACCCAGGAGCTCCAGTTCATCCACCTAAACACGGAGTGTTGCTCAGGTTCTCCGAATCGCTCAGCACTTACAAAGAATTTGAGTGGATTTGAGAGCTTTGTTATTTATAAAATGCAGATGAACCAATAATGCATTAATTCATCAACATTTTACTATGTTTTAAAGAGCTAAAAACATTAATTTTCTTTTACATAAAGTATATGCTTGCTTGTTTACCTTTTTGTTTGGGGAGAAGGAAGAAGAGAAACGTGTGTGTGTGTATGTGTGTGTGTGTGTGTGTGTGTGTGTGTATGTTGTATATCCCAATAACTCCTAAGGGCATCAGTGTGACGTAACTTTTAAAGCACCTGCCCTTTCCCCAAGAAAAATGTGTAACCCATACCTTTCTGTGGTGCATACTAAACCATAACCTCCTTCTGCTACAACTCTACACTGAGTATTAAATATGCCTGCCTATGCCCCAGATTGCTGTTACGTTACATAATCCTCTTAAGCTATTAGGATACATGTAACTGTTGCTCTTTTCCTTCTCAAACAGGAAGACTCAGAGTCTAGAAATAACATTTGATGAGGAGAGCTGAGGAGCTAGAGTAAGCCACAGTTTGAAATAACAATTATGTTTTAGGGAGAGCAAATAACTGGGTTAGAGTGATCGTGATTGGTAGTAGGAGAAGGAATCAAGACCACATTAAGGAAAGGATCAATAGAGTATCTATAAAGCAGCTGAATGGAAGTAAAAAATAAGTTTGTGAATTAATATTAGGAGGTAATAAAATATAATGTGTTAAAATACAATGGGTTGAGATAATTATTTACCTATAACAGGTGATATATAACATTTTCTCTTTTCTGTGCTTCAGATAAATATCTGCCATTTTTTCTTTTGCCTCTATAAAATAAGGCTGTTCAGCCGTAACATTTCGAAGCATGCTTAGAGCCCGCTCAGTATCTCCTTGGGCCAGAGCAAGGTCTGCATTAGCAATAGTAACACGCAATTCTTCAGATGTTCCAGAAAACTCATGGATGGCATCTTGTAAAACTTTTGCTGCCTCATGCTGTAAAAATGAAATGAAAATATTATTCTTTCAAAATAGTCAACAAATTACATTAAGAAGGGGAGTTTTCCAATTATACAGAATGAATAATAAGTGTCAGGACAGTTATGATATTGACAAAATAAATTGATAGATTTTCTGAAAAGTATAAACATTTAAAACTAAACCCAGACACCAAAATCTGATGCTATAAATATTTGTCAGCTGTATAAATGTTTTCAAAACTAGGACATCAGTTGCTACACAGAGTTATTGCTACTATAATTTAATGAGCAT